GGGTGCCATTACATGAAGCGCGGAAACGCGGATTAGCGTAACGCGGAACGAGAGTGAAACCAATCGCGAGCATTCTGCAGTTTATGTTACGCTCGCGATTGGTTCCCTTCTCGTTCCGCCTTACGCTAATCCGCGTTTCCGCGTTTCATGTAATGGCACCCTTAAATTCGATGCGCACCGAAACAGAATCGGACCGATGACTTCGGTGGAAACCGCGGTCCTACGCCGCGCTAGAAATAAGAGTCTGGCCCATAGACATAGTATATCTAGACCGAGCGTTTGCCTTTATTTAAGGAGTAGGGATAAAGATGCACGTAGAAAAACACGTACTCTGTTTCGTGCCCCTTGCATTCTCTCTCGCTCGCACATAGCATAGCGCTCTCTTTCGTCATGCTACGTGCGAGCGAGAGAGAACGCAAGGGGCACGAAACAGAGTATGTCCTTTTCTACATGCACCTCGGCTCCCACTCCTCAACACTCGGTCTAGATATACTATGTCTATGATCTGGCCAATGTTCTAGTTTAATACAAAATGGCGTACTGTATATACACTTACTACTACATCTTACTACTACTACATACTTACTACTACGTGTATCCGGCATATAAATTGGCTAATTTTTTAAAACGTCATCACTGATTAGTGCCGCGATTTGGTATCAAGCCAATCAAAAATAGGGCAGATTCTGTCCAGACTCTTACTTCTAGGGACTCTAAGAGTACCAATCATGTAACTTTTTCCCTAGGGCGGAAACGTGAAAAGTGAAAAATATTAGCTTGAAATCAATGGCAAAATTTTTCACTTTTAACTTTTCCGCCCTAGGGGAAAAGTTACATGATCGATACCCAACAGAGAAAACTGCTCAGTAGCAATCGAACGTGATTGGCTTTTACTTTTAGAACATCAAATCAACGTCGAGTGTTAACAAGACGATAACTGAGCGCTTTTTTTCTTTCATTAGAATATCTACAATTTTATTTGCCAAAATCTAGTAAATCTGTTCACTTTTGTAATTTTTACCTCGTTTCAAAAACCGTAACAGGCCCCCAGAGATTATGTTACATTCACAAGCAAAAGTTAAGTTGGCTCTACTGCAGCTTTATTCTGTAACTTTTAACGACAAGTTCGCTATCATCGTTACGCGTCGTTGCGCTATTTTTCGATATGTTTTAGCTGCGCAACGATGCGTAACGATAACGACATCGTCGTTACGGAGTTAGAAAATAGGCCTACTGAAATATCAATCTTCCTCGCTTCTATTTTACTTCCAAATAGGAATATCTTGGAAATAGAACATTAAATTTGATGCGCACCGAAACAGAAACGGATTGAAGATTTCGGTGGAAACTATATAGACAATAACATTCAAAGCGATCAAACCTCATCTGCTTCATTCGAAAACGCTAATATAAGGGTACTTATATGGATTTTATTAGATTAATCAATAATACATCGATTAAGCATTTGATTGATCAATCATGGCAAAGAATCTTGTGCTTCAAAGTCAAAATAGCATCAAACGGAATATACTTCATATTATTTATATTAATCAGATTTAAAACCCATTTTTTGGATGAACATATGTTCATGGCAAATTGATGAGTTTAATCGCTCTTGGAGTGATTGTAAGCGGTACACATACGCATCCCATATAGCACAAAAAGATTGCAGAAATATTACATAGATTATTCCAATGTAACAATAGAATGTTCCATATACATTGCGAAATATTGCTGCAAAATGTTGCTGTAAGATTGCATTAAAATGTCCGCTTTCAGTATTAACATTACAAAGTAACATACTTGTAATAATGCAATGCATTACTGAGAAAATGTATTTATAATAATATATATAGTATATACAGATGTTTTTGATCTCATTTATACGTTTTCTAAACTGCCTTACATATGTATATTGTAAAACATTGTACACATCAAATAGCTGTTAAAAACATAAAAATTGTATACACACATACTTGAAAGAGCATAAATGTTACTTCGTAAGTAGTATGGTATATTTGTAATACAAATAATACACATAATATATTTTGTTATTGCTAATAAGTTGTTACAGGTACAATAAACCAATAATCTTTTAAATATCTTGTATATAATCCATGGCAAAATAATTTCATAAAATATACAATTTCATATTTTTTTGTCCAGATATATGTAAACATAAATAAAATATTACATTAATATCTTATTATTAACTTTTTAATATTTTTAGTATTATTGCCTAGAGAGAGAGAGAGAGAGAGAAAGAGACAGTTTTGTTTCGTCAATCAAGAACAAGAGAAAGGTTGCACGGTAAGAGCGGTAAGATCGCGTAATATGTTCAACGTAATGCTTGAAGTTTCAGTCTTTCGCTTTCTCTACCACGAACTCGATCGCACCACGTGCTCTCGATTCCTTTTTATGGTGGAAGCGTTTTTTTAACGGGACATCAATTTAGTGTCATAATGCTCGTCGGAATGTTACTAGTGTTGCAAAAAAGAATCTAGCCGACTAAAAATTAATTATAGGAAAGAGTTAATTGTATATATATAATATATATGTATATAAATAATATCTAATACTTAATATGAATAAACTGAATTTGTGCAGAATACCAAAACTGTAATCTGTGTGATCACCAAGAAGGAAATCAGGTCAAGAATATTAAAGTGTCGAAACGACCATTCTGAAATAATTATTAGATGTTCGATAGATTTATATATAATGTTCATACAATTTATAATAATTGGAGTCACCTTTCTAAATTATACCAACATTATATATATAAATCTCTCAAACGTTTAATAATTATGCTTTTAGATTTGACATTTCGACATTTTAATATTCTTGTCCTGATTTTCTTCTTGAATCACTCGGATTACAGTTTAGTTTTCCGCGAATTCAATTTATTCATAATATTTCTTTAGTTTATCGTTTACTTAAAAACCACTTTAAAAAATTTTAAATATGCTGTACAAAAAAATGCCATTTCAAAGATACTTCAAATTTACTAGTTATGTAAAGATCATGATTGGAATGTCAATTGCCTAATTGCTGAATCGAGTTTTACTTTCTCCAGAGAAGTACGTCTAACAATTTTGAAATAGAATATATGATGAAGATCTAAAAATACTTTAACTACTTCTTTTTTATTTATTATAGATCTTCGTAGATTTTTTGAGAATCAGCGGTTTATATTTTATATTAAAAGTATACATCATTTAAACTTGCAATGATGAATTGATTAAGGATTATATTAATTTTACTTTAAAAAACAGAGATTAGTTTGTTTAGTTATTAGATTAGCATTTCTCAGTGCACGCATATATACGTAAGCATATATACAAAGCTCATTAAAATTGAAGAGTTTGATATTTTCGATTTTCTTTTCGATCTTTGAGAATAATCATTGCGAAGATAATTATTCTAATAAATAAAACAAATTTTTATTTTATGCTTTTAGATTTTTGCATAAAATGCCAAATTGAAATATTCCGAAAACCTTTTCAATATAATATAATAATGTATCGGGTACACGACGAAATAGATGACTGCTACTATTTTCATTAGTCACAATAATTAATTAGTAATATTAATTTCCCATATCCGGCATTTTTTATGAATATAGTGACTTATAATTACAATATAAGCACAACTATGAAGAAAAACGCGCGAGACGTGCATTGAAATATTTAATTCGATTTTATTCTTCAAAGACGTGTTTTATAAAATGTAATCAAAACATATTTAACAGAAAAAGAAGTAAAAATATTTGCAAACTCGGCTACTTTAAAAATTTGGACAATATTAATATTAATCGAGAACGTAACCAGTAAGAGAGATGAATGTTACGACAATAGTCGGTGCCGCTATAAAAGCAGCGACCGTCCTACTCGGCGTCAGCATTGGGAAGATTACTATAATCCCAGTACTGATCGTCGCACTCATGTACTTCAATTATGATCTCATGGACCCGGAAAATCATCCGCATGTAAGGAAGGAGTTAAATAAAAGCTATGATTTTATTGTAATCGGCGGCGGTTCGGCCGGTAGCGTACTCGTCAACAGATTAACCGAAAATCCCGAATGGAACGTGCTGTTATTGGAAGCCGGAGGTCATGAAACGGAGATAACCGACGTGCCAATATTATCTCTGTATTTACACAAAAGTAAAATCGATTGGAAATATCGCACACAACCACAGAATACAGCCTGCCAAGTTATGGTCGATCGTCGATGTTCTTGGACTAGAGGCAAGGTATTAGTTTTATTAACAGAAACCTGATTTCCAAAATACGTTCAATACAAATTAAAAAATACAAAAAAATTTTAATTAAAGAAATGGCGCTACTAAACTAAACAATATGCTAAAAATAATATATTTTTTAATACATTATTCACATTGCAGTTATTGTAATATAATTAAATTAAATATAATTCTAAATTAAATTTAGATCTTAATTAAATTTATTGTTTGTTGGTTTTAATATATACTTTAAAAGTTAGCAGCGCCAAGTTTTTTTAATTAAAATTTTTTTATATTTTTTATTTGTATTGAACGTATTTCAAAAATCAGGTTTCTGTTAATAAAAATAAAACGCGTTTTAATTTTATGAAGAGAATCTGTCTATAACATTTCTATAAATACAAGATTGATTTTATGACAAATACTTTTTCAAATTACATAATATTCTCACAAACTGAATTGCTTCTATAAGTACTTGGCTAGTTAACTATTGATTTCATATTTAGTCTTTATTTTTTATTTTTTAGAAGAAAATTTTTTATAACTTATTTTTTAGATATGTACTTAGCGTATTTTTCAGCTTAGTGAGATTTTTTTAGTAGGATTCTATTTTGCGCAACCTTCATAGTCAATTATAAATAATACTTCAGGTTCTTGGAGGCTCCAGTGTTTTAAATACGATGCTTTACATTCGCGGAAATCGACATGATTATGATCAATGGCGAAGTTTCGGAAATCCTGGTTGGGGATACGAAGACGTGCTACCGTTTTTTCACAAATCTCAAGATCAAAGAAATCCATATCTGGCACGTAATACAAGATATCATAGTACAGGTTTGCATACTTCTATTACTGTATATATATATATATATATATATATATATATATATATGTGAAATATAAATATTTTTTAAATTTTATTATTTTTTATTTTCCAGGGGGATATCTAACCGTGCAAGACAGCCCTTATGTTACTCCATTGGGTGTAGCGTTTCTTCAGGCTGGCGAAGAGATGGGTTATGATATTTGCGACGTCAATGGCGAACAGCAAACTGGTTTCGCCTTTTTTCAGTTTACAATGCGACGAGGTGCTAGATGCAGCACCGCCAAGGCATTTGTGCGACCCATTCAGCTGAGAAAGAATTTCCATCTTTCTTTGTGGAGTCATGTGACTCGAATACTGATAGATCCGCAGAGCAAAAAAGCGTACGGAGTAGAATTTATTAGAGAGGGTCGTAAGGAGACGGTGTTTGCCAAAAAAGAAGTTATCCTCTCCGCCGGTGCTATCAATAGTCCGCAATTATTAATGCTCTCAGGAATAGGGCCACGTTCCCATCTAGAGCAATTAGGAATCCCCGTAATTCAAGACTCACCCGGGGTCGGACAGAATCTGCAGGACCACATAGCAGTTGGCGGTCTCGTTTTCCCGATCGACTATAAGATCAGCATCGTAATGAATCGAATGGTGAACGTCAATTCTGCATTGAAATACGCTATCACCGAGGACGGTCCGTTGACGTCCAGCATCGGCCTCGAGGCGGTCGGCTTTATTGCTACCAAATATGCCAATCAGACCGACTGGCCCGATATCGAATTCATGTTAACGTCCTCGGGAGTCAACTCTGATGGTGGCAGCCATGTAAAGAATGCTCATGGTTTAACCGACGAATTCTACAACGAAGTGTTTAATGAACTCAATAATCGCGACGTTTTCGGAGTGTTTCCGATGATATTAAGGCCTAAATCGCGCGGATATATCAGGCTGAAATCTAAAAATCCCTTGGATTACCCGCTGCTTTATCATAATTATCTCACTCATCCAGAAGATGTAGCAATACTTCGCGAAGGTGTTAAAGCGGCCGTTGCCTTCGGCGAAATGAGTAGCATGAGAAGATTCGGTTCTAAATTTCATAGTAAACAATTACCCAATTGCAAGCACATTCCACTCTATACCGACGAATACTGGACATGTATTTTACGAATGTATACTATGACTATATATCATATGAGCTGTACTGCTAAGATGGGCCCGTCTAGCGATCCCATGGCGGTTGTGGATCCGGAACTGAGAGTCTATGGTATCGAGGGCCTGCGAGTTATCGATGCGTCAATTATGCCGACTATTACTAGTGGCAACATAAATGCGCCTGTCATTATGATCGGTGAGAAGGGCGCCGATATGATAAAGACAATGTGGATGCGATTTCGCTTTAAGAGGGACAATGTCACTGTTGCTACTTCTTGACGTTAGTCAATTGAGTAATATTTCGTAACGTAATACATATGTATAGATGTATGATTGATCGAAAAGTTAAATCAAATAGTTTTAGTAATTGTATGTATAATTTTAAGAAAAAAAACTAGTTTCAGGTTTAAAATAAGAGTATAATTTAAGAGAAAAATATTTGTACTTACTCATATTTGAGTGTGTATAACAAAGTTTAGTAGTTCTGACACAATTACAAAGAAAGGTGTTGAAGTAGGATCCAAATTTGCCTATAATGGAAATGTATGAAATCGATATATCTTTATATTGTTGAACTTGCTGAACTCGAATATAAAGTTTAAAATTGTCCAAAATCCGGGGAACTTTGCGAAAATGAAATTTTTAACGATACTTTCGATAATTGTTAAGAACTATTTGTTAATTCATAAATCGAAGAAAGTTTTTTATACACATATATTTTACTAATCTATATTATCAAACACAAGAGATATATAAAATTGTTTTATTTCAATATATATTGTGAGAATGAAATCGTAATATTTTATTTCTAGTTTAACATAACTACAGCAACAAACTAGGAGCTATAAGACTGGGTATAAAGGTTCATATGATAATAAAATGACAAATTTTTTATCTTTTAAATACTATTTTTAATTATTCAAGCATAAAATAATACTTAAAGATATGAAGATGATAACATATTTATTATGAAAATCCTCATTTTATTATTGAACCATCCAATAGTATGTAGAACTTTTTTTTTATCATAGCAAATTTTATACTAGCCATTATTTTCATCTGGTTGAACTTTGTTTAACTGTACCTCTTCCTTTTTCTCCATATCATTATCATTAAAGTTTTCATTTATGGATTGCATTGAAACATCAGCATTATCAATGATTGCAGCTTCAATATGTTCTGGATTAGGATCTCGATTTTCTTCACCCTCTTCTATCGAGCGCGAAGCTTCTACTATATGTAAAGATGTAGATGCTTCAAAATTTTGTGAGTTTTTGCCTAATCCTATCTGCATCTCTATTAAGTTTAGTTCTTCTATTAATGCTTTTTCTCTTCTCTCAATTTCCTCTAAAATATAAAAAAAGGAAAAAAGTAAATAACATATAGATATATAAATAGAGATATAAATTTACAATAATATTTGTAAAAGTACTAACCATAAAGTTCTTTTGTGGATTGCACTAATAACATATCAGTTTGTGGATGTTTGCGCTTTGGTACATAATAAATGGAAGGTTGTGCACGTGTTTTTATAAATGAAGCAAGGGGTAGCTGAGCATTGCGCCAATCTTGAAACTGTCGACTACGGGCAAGTTTTGCTTCCAATGCCCGTACTTCAGCTAATTGCCTTTTCCGTGACAAAAATAATTGTTGTCTTTCTCTTCGTAGCTCTTCTTTTTCTCGTTTCCTAGCTTCTTCTACTCTGGCCTCTACTTCTGCTTTTTTATCTTCCTATTAATAATAAGTGAGATATAAAATTTGATGATATAAATTTCTAAATACATCTAAATTCCAATTTTACCTTTGCCTTAAGTTTAGTCTCTTCTTGTCTAAACTTTTGTAAAGTACCCAAAAGTGCACCAAACATACGTTTATTTCTTTGTCGACTGCGTTCATCGGTTCTTTCTCGTCTGATAACCTCCTGACGTGAAGGAATTTCTCGCGGAGTAGCTATTACTCTGGACGATACAGCAGGCTTAATAAATATTAAAATACATGTTAGATCATGTTTAATTGTACATACATGTTGAAAGAGAATATATGTAAAATAATATACAAAATAGTATAGTTAATAGAAAATATATGCAATATGTATATCAAAACAATCACCAATTTTTTATTAGTTATAAATTTTTTAAATAATTCTTATATAAATAATTTTTCTTGTATAAAATTTGAGGTAATTATTATTACTATAGAATTTCTAATAGTTTAAAGTTTTTAAATTTTTGATATTGAATATTTTTATCTTTATATTATTAAA